TTTCGGTATGTTCGATAAGTTTCGGTATGTTCGGTAAGTTTCGGTATGTACGATATATCGCGGTAACTTCGGTATTCGATGAATCGAAAATGTTTCGGTATGTTTCGGTAAGTCTCGGTATGTTCGGTATGTACGATATATCGCGATAGCTTCGTGATTCGGTGAATCGATCGAAACCGACCGAACCGAACCGATACCGACATCGATCACCGACACTCGATGAGGCGGTTCGGTATACAGCCCTAGTTTAAGTGTCCAGGCTCCGATGTAAGTCATCATTAGTGGCCGCAAACAGTAATAATGAAAGCTACGATTGCGTTTTTCTTAAAATGTGATTTTTCACTATGTAGCCTTTTTCCAGAGAGCTCCTCAATTACATTGTAAAAATATTGAAATTCCACTGAGCGTTGTGTATGTTGCCTAGCTCCTATTTGAAGGGGCCACATTTATTGAAACTTATTTCAATAAAATTGATATGAGTTGCAATTCTTCATTGCATTGCATATTGCCTATCTTTCTTTTCTTTTTGCCTTTTCTTCTTGCTATCTATTGTTGATTTGTTTAAAATCGGCATAAATCGACAAAATGATGTAAAAATATTGCAAATTAATGGTAAAAAACTACAATTTTATTGAAATCAAATTGCAATTTAATTTCAATATTTTCGTTGCACTGTCCTACTTGAAAGGGGACCCATAAGTTTCATCATCAGTATTTTCTTCATTCAGAGGCTAGACAAACAGGGTCTCGACTCTCGTCAAAAGTTGAAGGATGAGGCGAAGAAAATAATATTAGGTATGACTGAAAAGAGGAGAAAATAAACTGAGTTAATATCATACAGACCGAGAGATATTCTTTCTGAAATCAGCTTCCCCTCCAAATGCCAACTTCACTGAGTGTTGCAAAATATTTATTGGAAATGTTTTGCAAGATGATGTTGTCAACCAGAGTCTGAAGTCAATATGTGTGTTATCTGAATTCAAACTTTCACAGATCTGGAGACAGCAGAACCCACAGGGCAAGTTTTTATTAACGAATGCGTGAATCAGAATTATATGTTAGAGTCTCCGCGCATAATAAGCTTACGCACTTCTGGTCTGCCAAAGAGAAAAATAGGAGGTGTTCGTTTTTCGGGCATCTTAGATTTTTTTGATGGCATAAGTACGTCGGCACAGACGATTTTTATCATTTATTTGGGGGGGGGGTGGTGTAGTTAATGGAAAAAATTCATTCTAAATAAAGTGTTTGAAATTATATCATGAGCTGATTCAAGCAAAAAAATTGGACGTTATGGTCCGTTTTTCATGCTGGAATATCGACGCCTTGTTGTGCCGACCTACGTCACGGGGTAAACAATCCTCAATATGCAAAAACCTCCTTCTTTTCACCATGCCGATTGCGACAGAAGATCGTCTGACGGCACTGTTACATGTAAAGTAAATACAAGAGCAAGATGGCGGATCTTCTGTCGTAGTCTATAAGTGCGTAAACTTATTTGGCTTGGACACTATACGTAAAAACATACTTAGCACAAAATAAATGAATAATCACTTGATTCAAGAGCTTCTTCCAAAAATGAGATTTTTCGCCTCCCATAGACCTTTGCTAAACTTCGTCTATTGATGACTCACACTCAAGCGTTTCTTCGCCGGAATTTATAAATTCCTAATTTAATGTGTATGAGAAGGGGGGGGGGGCACTGATATCTTTTTAGCGTAAAAATATGTTCAGGTGTGTCCGGTTTGCACTGACAATGATCTAAAATTGAAATTTGTAAGCCGATTTTTGGAGAGAAAATCTCAATACTTCATTTTTAAGTTAAGTTTGGTATTTTTTTAGCTTTTGAAATTAGGATTTAAAAAAGAAAGAAAAAATCCCCCAAAAATGCACGTAAATATCAACTTTTGTGCGAGCCAAAACCAGGTTTTTGCCTTGACCACCTCATTTTATGGGTGGTCAACGATTCTGGGAAAATAAGCGTGTGCCACTTCGAAAATAGTCAAGCACTGTTAGGTATTTGCACGTCTTGGTGACAAGCCAGACGATCGGGGTCCAAAATTTATCGGCTCTTTCACACGGAGATGCAACATCCGTTTAAGAGTCCAAACCGCACCACTTACCAATCAAGAAAAGCGCTAAACAGGACAAGCGCTGGAACAGAATTTTTTCGGCTCTTTCACACGAAAATTAGTTAAACAGAAATCATCCTCAGAATACTCTCTGCTATAAGTACGGGTTTTAGCATTTCTTTTCTTCCATGATCGACGGGCGCATCCACAAAAAAATTTCCTCTCAATCCAGAAAAAAGTGCAAAACCAAAATATAAAAATACAGTTGAGCAACCGATAAAAATTTAAAAGCGGTAATAAATTCCGGATCATACTGTCCGTGCAAAGCACGGTTTGAGCTGCTAGTCTCTCATACAACAGAAAATATTGATACCTCCTTACTTTGCCTGCCGCGGTCTTGATGAGACAGTTACCTCAATTGGATGGTTGCAAGACTTCGCTGGCAATTCCCAGCATATACAGGGTGTCTCAAAAGTCCGTAACCCCCCCTCCCTCGTAATTTTTGAACGGTTAGAGATAGAAAAACGAAACTTTGGTAATGTTTCTATCTTAAAGGGAACCATCTTCTAGGGGGGTCAAAATTTTTGTTCCCCCTCGGGGAGGCGGGGGCCCCCAACTGTTTTGTTCAAATAGTAACCCCTATCTTGTGATACATTTTTAGAAAGAGCATAAAAAACTAAGAATTTTGGCGCAAACTGCAGATCAATATCTTAATTTTTGACCGAGTTATGATAGGTCAAAGGTCAAATTTGACATATTTTCAAAAAATCATAACTCCGGTTCAAATTATCGTAAAGGAGAAAATAAAACGGAAAATTTACAAAATTGTAAGCACTATTGAGTAAAAATCACGGAAATTACTTCCAACTAATTTTAAGGGGGGTTTTGGACCCCCAAATACGTCATTTTAAAGGTCATACGATATTCTCGCAAAATGAACCAATTCCCCTTACTTTTCCTCAACATTATCTTAGCAAGTTCAAAATTAGTTGAACATTGCGTTTTTAAGTCCCCAAATTTCGGGCAAAGTTAAAAAAGCGAAATTTAAATGGTTGAATTAAATCACTTTAAACCTTTTTTGAACTTTGCCCGAAATTTGGGGACTTGAAAACGCAATGTTGAACTAATTTTGAACTTACTGAGATAAAGCTGAGGAAAATTAAGGGGAAATTGGCTTATTTCGCGAGAAAATCGTATGACCTTAAAAATGACGTATTTGGGGATCCGAAACCCCCCTCAAAATTAGTTGGAAGTAATTTCTGTGATTTTTACTCAATAGTACTTACAATTTTGTAAATTTTCCGTTTTATTTTCTCCTTTACGATAATTTGAACCGGAGTTATGATTTTTTGAAAATATGTCAAATTTGACCTTTGACCTATCATAACTCGGTCAAAAATTAAGATATTGATCTGCAGTTTGCGCCAAAATTCTTAGTTTTTTATGCTCTTTCTAAAAATGTATCACAAGATAGGGGTTACTATTTGAACAAAACAGTTGGGGGCCCCCGCCTCCCCGAGGGGGGAACAAAATTTTTGACCCCCCTAGAAGATGGTTCCCTTTAAGATAGAAACATTCCCAAAGTTTCGTTCTTCTATCTCTCACCGTTCAAAAGTTACGAGGGGGGTCCGGACTTTTGGGACACCCTGTATGATGGAAATCCACATAATTACTGGCAGAATCTAGTTTACATTCTATCATAAGCTTGATAGAATCATAAAAGAGGGGTCAAATAGCGCTAATATAAAACTCAGTCAGGAGTATAGGCGATGTTTTTTTTTTTTAAACTCTGAGTTGAAACCTACCGTGCGAAAGGGACAGAGCAATACAGAAGAATCATATATGACGAGTTGTTCCTAGGTTGTCGTTTATCTGAGTCCTTGACTAAGAAGTTCCCGCATGAAGGTGTGACAGAAAATCGACTGTTTTTTCCATCCTCGAAAGTAAAACGAGACATTAAACCGGTATTCTCCGTTTTACCCTGATACTCAACGCATTGAAACTCAATCGCAGCCGACTCTGCATGACCAAAATTGGCAGATACATGCTCATAAAAATGAAATGTTATCAAACTGTTTCATTAGAGTTCAGAAAATGTATGCCTTTGCAACTATAACAATTTTTGTTGTGGCAACTGTGATTTTAGCTTGCAAAGGCATGTACCTATGGTTTGTTTGGTAGGCCGGAAACCAGAATGGGCCTGTTGCAAACTTTTGCTAGAGCAAAAATAAGAGTTGTTTCTTCTAGATAATGCCTCAAAAATCACGATGAGCGCATCGGCAAAGTCTGAAATGCACTCATAACTTCACAGTCTGCGTAAGAAATTTGCGGTTTTTTGAGCTTCCCGCTTCAAAAGCGATACTACGGCACAGGTGAACATTTTGTAAAAGGAGTCGTTCCATCGTGCGCAATACTCATCATGGCCGACGCCAATCCTCCAAAACACGTGTGATGGGACGAGATAATACCTGAACTGGATTAGACCAGATAACAATCGGCGTGTTTTAACGTTCATGTTTTCCACGCCCGAATTGATTGACCTTGAACTCTCCTCGAATTACGCGCGGAACTGCGCGCAAGCGTCGGCCATGATGAATATCGCCGACGATGGAGCGACTCCTCTAACAAAATGTTCACTTGTGCCGTAGTATCGTTTTTGAAGCGGGAAGCTTAAAAAAACGCAAATTTCTTACGCAGATTGTGAAGTTATGAGTGCATTTCAGACTTTGCCGATGCGCTCATCGTGATTTTTGAGGCATTATCTATAAGAAACAACTCTTATTTTTGCTCTAGCAAAAGTTTGCAACAGGCCCATTTGCAATAGTAGAGACATTACCATTACGAACAGAACGATGATAGTTTATTGACATGCGGTTTGGACAAAACTTCCTCCAAAATCGATGGGCCACTTTTTATTTTCATTTAGAGGGGGGGGGGACAATGCGTCGTAACCTCTCTGTCTTCCGCCCAGGGACAACTTTTAAACTTAAAATGGGAACCCTTCTTGTATGTGTTACTCCGTTAAAAGAACTAAACATTGAAAACAAACCAAATATTTCGGCTTCCAAAATATGCATTTTATACTTCTCAGTGAACTGAGCGGTTAACCAAAAATACGTGATACCTGTCTTCCCAAGAAAACAAAAGTTAAATTTTTGTACAAAATTACGGCCCAATCCAAAAAAAAATCACTAGGGACCCATTAAAAAGAATAAATAAATAAATAAATAAATAAAATGAGACATCTCAAACATATGATGGCGGGACCGTTTGGAGTCATCATTTAAAAGGAAGTGATATCACATCGGCCCAATTCCCTTCTTGATGCCTCTGCAACATGCTACACACTCCAAAATTTTTCACGCAAAATAAATTTAACACCTATACCTACGTATAAGGTATGATGGCTTGGAACACTTTTTGATCCATCACTCTTTAGGAGTGATATCAAAACAGCCCAGCTTCCCTGAAATATGCCCACATTGGAGCTTACTTCCTCGAGACCTCTCGACTCATCGCTTAAGAAACACGGATCATTGCTTGTCCCTTAGTATACCTCTTTTTTAGATATCTAAGAGGTCCCTCTGAAAACTGTAATGCATGATTTTTCTTTAAAGATACAAAAAATCGTCATAAAATTGAAAACAATTCGAAGAAGAAAACGGAATGGGCCGGCCGGCACGTCCCACATTTTGACATGCGGGTGACAAACCTGGCCGTGCCAACATTCATAAAGTTCTTAACAAAGAGGCATTTTAGATATTCGTCAGGACCAAGGCACATACTTAATAAGCGCAATGACATGACAAGGTTCAGGAGTTTCTCAGGCGCTCTGTCAGAAACAAACAGAGAATACGGATGTGTGAATATCTTTCAGTAAATGATTCAATGATGATTTCAAGAAGGGGTCCTCTTCTCTAGGATGCTGCATGTTAATACAGATGTAAGAGAGACGATAATAACCCTGTCTTCTATCACCTGTATGTGCGGCCGGCTGGCCCATTCCTTTTTTTCTTCGATTTTTTCCCCCAACTTTATGACGGTTTTTTGTATCTTTAACGGAAAATTATTCATTTCAGCTTTCAAAGGGACCTCTTTGTTATCTAAAATAGGAGGTAAGTATACCGAGAGTCAAGTAATGATCCGTGTCTCTTAAGCGATGAGTTCAGAGGTTTCGAAGAAGTTTACTCCAAGATGGGCATATTTCAGGGAAGTTGGGCCGTCTCGATATCACTCCTCTAAAGCGATGGATCAAAACGTGTTCCGAGCCATCATACCTCATGGGTAGGTATTTAAATGATGACTCCAAACGGTCCTGCCGTCATATGTATGTTTGGAATGTCTCATTTTTTTAAATGTATTTATTATTTTTAACAGGTACCTTTTAAGTTTTTTTGGATTGGGCCGAAATTTCGTAGGTACTCAAATTTACTTTTTGTTTTTTTGGAATTGATTACACATTCAACGCTCTTTGCGCTGCTTACATTGTCTTTATTGGGAGTCAAAAAGATCGGAAGGTTATTGGATAGGTAGCGACAACGTATGGGCACCAAAACTTTTAAAATACCCCGTTTAATTTATTTTCTCCGGGAATTTCTTGGGACTTAAATGACAATGCTTGCATATTTCAACAACAAAAACCTTGTCTTACTTTATCGAGAGAAGACATCCACTCCCCAGCGAGGTGACAATTTTGGAGTAGCACCCAAGTACCATTTTTCATTGCCTCTTCTATAATTTTCGCAGCAAAAATCCCTTGATCTTCTCCTAACGACAAAGAATTGAATCGAGATCCAGTAAAGTCCTGGAAATTTAACAAAAATTAACTGGAAGACTCATTAAAAATTTCAAAAGCTTAAAAATAGGTGACTAGAAGAGTATAAATTTTCGTACTCGTTGAAAGGAAAAGGAAGCTCTTTTGATTGAAGAGGACTTTCTTTTTTATTCTGGTCGAAATTGTTGAAAAATTTGTCTCACTTTTCCTGCAAAATAGTGTGAACCCAGCACTATTTTACCACCTTGTTTACAGATATATTTAACTCCTTTGGAAATATTAAGAGGGATGTTCAATTTTAAGTCAAGAAATCGAACATATCGAGTCAGTTGCTTTAGTCGTAGAATTGTTTCGTCAATCGGGGCTATTTGGGAAATTTTTTGCAGTTTTTTAGAATTTTTAACTAGAAATCTTCCACTAATTTCAAAACAATAGGGCATTTTGAAAAGTTCTGACCCCAAAGCATAAGAAATTATAGGGTTTACTTATTCTACCTCCCTTTTTTTTGGGGGGGGGGGTGAAACAATTTTGAAAGATTTTTCCCAAATTGCCCCTTGATGGGGGTAATTTGGGAAATAGCACTAAAGCCGTATGTTATGAGCTGGTATCAAATAACCTCATACAGTGGGCTATTTGGGAAGGTAAACCAAAATTTTAAAAAATGTATTTGGGTACAAAAATTGAAAAAATTCATGAAAATATATAATTTTTTATAAAGTAGTACAGGGTATTGACAAAATTTAAAATCCCTCAAGAAAATGTAGAAACATTAAGTTCCCGAAAATATCTTCGAATATCTAAAATGAATAAACAAATGAATGAGAAGATTCTATGCTCTTCGGAACTTTTCTAAATGGCTCCTTGATTTCCATTTGATTTCTCACTTCGCATAGGGTCTATACTTCCCAAATTGCCCCAACACAGAAAAAATCTAATAACTCCTTATGAATTCATGAAAAAAATCTGAAATTTTCAGGATATGGTCTTGACTATGATAGTAAATGACTGGAAAAATCAAAATTGCCAATTTTTTTTTTTTTTTTTTTTTTTTTTTAATTGGTATTTTAACAACAATCTACAATATATGTATTCAGTTGACTTTAGATAGGACGCCTGAAGCAGTCGGTCCGGCTGGGATGCAAGAGTTGGACATAACCTCAAAAGATTACGAAAAGTAGTGATAAACAATATTGCTATACTAGCACTCATGAAAACATCGGATTCGTTATTTGGCGACGTAGAGGTACTCTCTAAACCATGCAGATAGCGCCACCATACGCGAATAGTTTTATGAGACAATTGGATTGCACAGCATTGCCAACAATTATTTTTATCCGCTAATTCCCAAATAGCCCCGATTGACGGTATTTTAATGTTTTAAGTGTATAGATTAGCTAAAATAAACGAGATCCGTCCAAATTCCAAAGAACCCCCCATCCTTATGGGACCCCCCCCCCCTCCCGGTCAAATCTGATGAAACTATGATATGTTGCTCGGCTAGCCATGCTGATCAAAATGGGATCTTTTTTGGCCCGTGAGAGCTTTTGATCAGAATGACTAGCTGAGCAACATATCCAAGTTTCATCGAATTTGACCGGAGGGAGTTTCTCATAAAGATGGTGCGGGGTTCTTTCTACATCCAATTCAAACGAAGACATCGCCCATCAATAAGCGCGTAGGTATAGCATCATCCGACGCGGTAGTACCTACGTGCATACCCACATGTTATCTTCCGTCTTGATTATTTTATCCGTCTTTCAGGTTGAGCAACCAGTGCAAATATGTGTATAGTCTGATTGATGAAACCAAGGTGGAAGGAACCGTGATATGCGCTACCGCACTGGATGACATCATATGCCGTGTCTTTTTTAATGAGCGATATTTTCGTTGATACCGGACGTATAAAGGCGTTTGAACCGATCTTACTATTTTATGTTAATCTATGCAAGCTATAACCACCAAAACACGGTTCTGGTGACCAGAGCAACTGACACATATTCTTTTTCATGAATGAAATTAAAATGCATTACCATAGAGGAAGCAAAGTCCATTAAAGAGGATACTGGGTCAACATTTGGAGACTGCAAACAAACTAATGGCACAGAACAATTCGAATCTGAGTAAGCAGACGCCAAGTCTAGATCGAGGTTCTCCATATGTTCCTTGCGCAATTCATCTGTAAAGATGAGGAGAATATTTTTGATAGAAATAAGATGACAAATTGAAATTCCCTGAGAAATTGCACTCTACATTCTTCCCTGACCACTGCATTTCCCTAGCCTTAGTTTGAACGACACAAAAAAAAAAAAAACTACGCGCGTAGCGGGTCGAATTGGATCTGCATATGAATATCATTGATTTTGAAAATTCTTAATTTTTTTTCTCCCATGATGTCGGACCCAGACATGTGACCACGGCCGTAGATCACGAAAACAGATGCCATTCAAAATCATATCCTATATATTAAAATGCAAAGTTCCAAATCTTGGGGCATTAACTTTGAGAGAACCACCGGACCGATTTGCGTGATATTTTTTTTAAATGAAAGCCCCTGAGCTGCAGATTTGCAGGCTGTGATCGTTTTTTCGATTATCTCAAATTTTCTCCCATAATTTTCTCAAATTTTCTTCGATGCATTAAAACGGAGGTCCGAATCTTTGGACGTTAACTTTGAGAGAACCACCGGACCGATTTGCATGATTTTTGTTTTAAATGAAAGCCTATGATCTGTAGATTTGCAGGCTGTGATCGTTTTTTCGATTTTCTCAAATTGTCTTACTTTTATCGACGAGTGAAGTTTAGCCGGGCTCAAATTTTCTCCCATTTATTCAGACTAAAGTCCGCATGTTGGGACATTAACTTTGAGAGAACCACCGGACCGATTTGCATGGGGTTTTTTCTAAATGAAAGCTTCTGATCTGTAGATTTGCAGGCTGTAATTGTTTTTTCGATTTTCTCAAATTTTCTTACTTTTATCGACGAGTAAAGTTCAGCTGTTTCGAGCGGTCATCTGGCCGCTACCTGCTTGCCCGTCCCTAGATACCCCCTCTAGGGTCTCAGCCACCCCTCCCACCACGTTCTTTCGGCTATCTCCGTTTTCTTTCGTATGGCTTTCCTCCCACCAACCTCAAAGAAGGTTTGGGTCGCATTGTCGTTCGTCACTCACCACCCACATTCCGTCGCAATCTCTCGGCTACTCCGCTTCACCACTTCTTGATAGGCATCCTGGCGGTTTGACTGACCCTGACTTATTAACTGCAGCGTTGCGCACACGTATTGCTAACAACATGTATTGTTATGGACATTGCATTCTTATTTGTTCTTTTCTCTTGACAACTTTGTTTCAAATTTGCTTGATACTTCGTTTCTTCCTCTCTCTTTATTTTGTTGGTCGGTCGACTACGTTGATCGGCTTTTTGCTATTGAAAACACATTAAGACTTCATGGAATTTCAATATCATCATTATTGATCTTCCGGAATTGCTTCCAATCAACCTGAATCTTCAAGGGTCGAAGCCTGACTCTCCTCCCCCTAAAACTATGATTCCATGATTTCTGCCGTTAACCCAGAGCAACATCAAATTATTTCTGAAATAATTAATCTCATCCAAAATCCATCTTACACGTGTAATGCGATTTTCATTGATGGCCCAGGAGGATCGGAAAAAACTTTCGTTTAAGAATGCCTTACTGCGTATTGTACAGAGGAAAACTTAGACGTCATCTCCGTTGCTTGGACAGGTATCGCCGCATCGTTGCTACCTAACGGTCGGCCGGTTCATAGCAAATTCAAAATTCCTTCGGTTCTGAATGAGAATTCTGTGTCGAGTCTGACGGTTAGCTCAAGAGAGGCTGAGACTATTCGAAAAACAACGATCATTTTTTGGGGTGAAGCTCCCATGGTTATCACGCATGCTCTGGCATGCATCGACCGACTTCTTAGAGAATGGGTAATGATATCCCTTTTCGAGGAAAAATTGTCGTCTAGGGTGGTGATTTTAGACAGGTTTTACCCGTTGTTCCGCATGCTTCTCGCCAAACATTGGTGCAAAATGCAATCAAATTCTCACCACTTTGACCTCTTTTCAAAATCAGAAATCTTACTCAAAATATGAGAACTTTGCAAGACGAAGCGGAGTTTGCAAAATTTTAACTCGAAATAGGTGATGGTGTTTACCTTTCTGCTAAAAAAGGCCATGCCGGAATTCATTGATTTACCGACAAGCAGTATTACTGAAAGGAATTGATATTATTACTGAAATTTATGGAAAATATAGCTTCCTCATGTTCGAACGTAGATTTCACAAACTGCGCAATTCTGGCCTCTAAAAATAAGCATTGCAATGAAATTAACGACAAGGTTGTTGAAGTTCTTTCAGGTGTCTCTAAAACGTACTTCAGTGTTAACAGGCTCATTGTAGAGGAAGAGGGAGAGGCTCTCAATTTTCCCCTCGAATTCTTGGACAGTCTTAATCTTAGTGGCTTACCACCGCATAAACTCACACTTTTGGAGGGGGTTTTTGTCATGCGTTTAAGAATTCTCAACGTTTCCAAAGGTTTATCGAATGGTGCCCGATTGATCGTCTGGAAACGTTATGAAAATTGTCTTGATTTGCAGGTCATTTCCGGCGAGAAGGCCGGTGAAAGAATTTCACTGCCAAGAATTGATTTGTCACCTGCAGACTCCTCTCTCCCTTTCTCTTTTAAGAGGCGACAATTTCCAATTCGCATTGCGTTCTGCATGACCATCATCAAAGCTAAGGGTCAAACACTGAAGCGAGTCAGCATTTATTTACCCCAAACAGTTTTTGGCCATGGTCAACTATATGTTGCACTCTCACGAGCTACATCGTACAAAAATTTTGAAGTCCAAATTCTTCCCAAAGGCAACCGTACGAAAAACATCGTGCACAAAGAGGTGCTTCGATCTTTTATAAATCCCAAAAGCCTCATAGTCATTAGAAAATTATCAAAAAATAAAAATAAAAAATAATTAAAAAATAACACAAAAAAAGGAAAACTAATAATGCGAGCTTTTTACAACATTTTTCGGTAGAATGGCAGTCTCCACCCTGTAACGCAGAGAGGCAGTTAAATTCCTTGATCTTTTGCCGCAGAATCATCATCATTATTAAATAGATTCAACTAATCGCTCCCATTCCAAATAAGCTACCGCACCACTATTGCTAGCTGTGGAGGGCGCCCGTAGGGCGCCCGGAGCAGCTAGTAAATATATAAAACACAAAATCAATATAACGTGTCATTTCAATGTAAATGCGACATCACTTTCGGAGCATTTGATTTTGTAAACTACCCCTGACTCATTGATAGGAGGAATAGGTGCCTTTACTTGTGATTTGTGACACTGAAGCGCTTCATCTAAGGCGGTCGTGCTTCGCAGAACGCTATATAAGGACAGCAGCATCCATGCCATTGAGAGATCTGATTGATGAGTCGACTGGCTATCCTTCATCATGTCAGATTTATTCTGCTATTATCTCGTGGTATATCCAACTACCTAGCTGAGTGCCTCACCAGGTTATTCTCAATGCTAGTGTCTTGCATGCCCCCCCCAGCCTCCCCCCACCCCGCGATAAGCGTCGAAACCCTTATAGAGCGTTTCTCTTTCTGGGACATTCTGTTAGCTATGTAAGCAGTACAATATATCTGTCAACCTATAGACCTTGAGTACATCATTATAGGTCTCAATGCCCCCCCCCCCCCCCANTATAGAGCATCCGGCGAAAGGCCCATAACAGCCAAGCGGCAAAGGAAGAAAATATGTCGTCATCAATGTGAGGTATATTTTGCAACGTCGGTAACAGAAATCAAGAAATCGAGGGGTGGTGGCACATCTAGAGTCTAAGAGCTTTCATCTTCCTCTATATAATAAGAGGATTGGACAGATTTCGTGACCTTGAGACTCCCCACCCCGTCCCTTGGTCCTCCCGTGTCTTACGCTCTTGACAATTGGTCGGCTGGACCCCGGCGGCCGGCTCTCCCGTCCCTCCGCGCGATTTCCCGGTCCAACCCTCCGGGAGGCTGCCACAGACCTCAAGGGTGTTTTTGGACAAACCGTCGCGTCGCCGCTCCCGTCCTCTGTGTCTTTTCGGCTCGGGATTTGGCATCCGGACTCTCCCAGGCGGCCAGAGCATAAGTTCCAGGAATTTCCAACCTCGGTCCCCTATATTTATTTGTCATGTTTTTTAACAAAAGAATTTATTAATTTTTATTCTTATAACTAAACAAAAGTTAGAATATTTTTATTTATTTTGTAGCTTTCGTTTAAAACAGACCCGAAGTAAGTCGGTCCAGTAGTTCTCGAGATCGAAAGCTCACAAAAAAAGCCTCAGAGCTCTAATTAGATGGATAGAAAACGTGCCGTTCATATTTTAAGAAAATTTCATTACTAATACCTATATTTCTTATTTAATAAAATACTTTGTAAAATAGCATTACACACGACAAAAGAAGTTTTTAAGTGTACACAGAAAATAGTCATACAACAAAGGTGGACGTTTGCTGCTATATCATGTACCTATAGTTTCTCTAATGAATACTTGACACGAAAAAAAGAACAAGAAGACATTACAACATGGATATGTTGGAAAAGCGTGCCGAACAACTGAACTGTTGGAGACATAGGTACTATTTCCACGTCTTTGCCATATGTATAAATTGGTACTTTTTGCTAAATTTAGGAGAACGTATTAATCATGAACGTTGAATGTAAAATAACTTCATTGGAAAAATAAAATAACATCATTAATTTGGGTGAACATGTGGCTAATGGTATGAAGGAAGTATATTCCAGTATTTTTGTTTAACATTAAACTCCAAAATACCTTTACATTCAAGCAAGAGTGGTAATGACAACATCCAAGAGATGTCACACATTTTTAGCGGCTCTGGTGCTTGCACTAGAGCTGCTATTCCGGACGGTCCCAGCTGGGGAGTATCATTGGACCATGTTACATTGGAGAGACCGCGCGTTGGTTAATGGGAATCGGCGCCATTTTTTGCTGTTTAGGGGGGACTGATTTTATTTTAATTGATATCTTTTTCCTGTGAGCGAATGCTATGTTGTGTAGTGTATTTTTGGAATCATGGTGATACTGTCAATAATTCAAAACGGGTCTGTGCTTTAATCTCGCACTGGAAAAAATGTACTTTACGTTTAAAATTTGAAAATTCAAATCTATAAGTTTTCGCGCTTTTTTCGAAGAATGCCGTGGTTGGAGCTTCCTAGTCATACTACTTGACATCAGCTGATAGCAAACAAAGGTTACCAAGGAAACCGTAAACGCGTAACAACTACCGTCGCCAGAGCCGCTTTCCGACGCGAATGCGTTGGAGCTTCCTGCTTGTTTAACATCCAGGATGTTACTACAGCACCTCTTTTTTTTCGGTGAGGAAAATATTATTGCACGACAGTTTCCATTGGTGTGTCAGGGATCTCCAAGTTGACCTATGAACCAAACTCTCAGTCCGTGTTGCTGACACATTTAACAATAAATTTCTCTGGCAGCTCTCTAGCTGGTAACTATAATCCCTCATCAGACCAACAAACACACCGCACCCTCTTAGCCTTGTATGTGCCTCTAAAGTGCATGAAATGACTCCTTGAGGTGTGGACGAGTCTTATTAGAATTATGACGTCGTCTCCTGAAAATAAGCTACAATTTGATATGCTAATGAGAAGCATTAGGGCATCCCAAAGTTATTGATGCAACCCGCACGTCACCTAAGTCAGCGGAAACGTATTAAAAGCATCGAAAAAGACTTTTTTTCTGATTCAATAATCCCCATAAAAAATTAATAAAGCGGCCGGCGCGTCTTGAACGCTGTCGGTACGTTACGGCTTCTCCAATGGGTGGGCGCGCTTTGCTCCTTACACAACTGTATTTTCGGAGAAGAATTTTTGGTCCGATAAGGAGAATTTAAAACTTTTCATTTCTTCTTTCTTCCTCCTTTTTCGAGATTTGAACAACAGAATGCTGTTTTCACCAGGGGAAAAGAAAAAAATGTATCAAAAGGAATCTAAGAGCCTCTTGCGATCTTAAAAAGTTTCAAAATACCAACCAGTTACAAAGTCTTGGACTGCAGGAAGGAGTCTGTCAGGACGAATGCTTTTTAGAACCAAGATCTGCTGAAAACAAGTTAACTGCGAGCACCATGGTTTTGGGAAAGGAACATCTTCAGAGCTTGAAGCCTCCACAATATTCTTCCAAGCTTGCTCATTATTATTGAAGTCCTCCTGAAGTCCCTAATGAGGAAAAGAAGAATTCACACAAGAGCGGTGCTATAAAATTTGGTAAGGTATCAGGAATGGAGCATTTTGTTCGATATATATGGTCTCAGATCTTGGCCATAATGTGGCATTACTATGTGTGCGCCCAGCACCTGTCTGATGTCCGGTGCAGAAGCACTTAATAATGAAGCATAAGCAAGGATTAAGGGGCACTACTACATTAAAATTCGAATATGGCTTCAAATTGTATTATTTTTACTCAAAAGTGGCACTCACAAAATAAAATAGATATAATGAATCATTCTTCAATCATATCGTAACTCAAACCAAGTCTATTTTACCAAGAGAATCCTGATGGTACCTATTCGTACCCTCATGATTAAAATTAGTTTTATTAAATTAATCAAATTGGGATTAAAAGCCTGTTGGTCCCTCGACACTGAACTAAACTCCCTTTTTTTTCTCTTTTTTTTCTTGTCTTCGCCGCGTCATATGGTCCCTCGGGCCGGAATGGTAGTCAATTTTTTTTTAATTATTATTGTATGTCAGGCCATATTGTTTACAGAACTTTGTTAAAGATTATATTTTGTAGCATTGCCTGTTTTTGCGTTGCATTATAATTAATGGGTAAGCTCCTTCACCACGCCACTGTACTAAGCTTCGAAGAAGTTCTTTGTTCATTTTACTTTATTTTTATTATTTTTTCTTTAGGTTTCTGTTTTTTTCTAATTTTTGTTTAGCGTTGTTTTTTAATTTTTTGTTGTTTCTTTGTTTCTTCTAAATTTTACTTTGTTTTTTTTAAAAAAAAAAAAAAACAAAGTAAAATTTAGAAGACATGACTTTAACATTTAACATGACTACTGGCTTTTATAATCTTTTTTAATTTTTTTCTTCAATTTTTCCGTACATTTTTTTTAATATAGTCTACATATTTGATTTCTGAATCTTCGTAAGCGTTTGCGAGTAAATCTTTGATGAAAAGAAACCCCGTCAATGATGAATTATTTCTTTCGTATAAGTCTGTCCCAGATACGAAGAGCCCTGGAAAATCAGAATAATTTGCACTATGTAGAAGCAAGGTATCGTTCGTTCTATTGTGCCCGACTAATCACCGAGCAAACCCCGCACCGTACAGAGGGTTGGTTATGAGCTCCGCGGCGCGTTGGCGTCTTCCGCCGGGAATCCGCTCCTGGGCCTCGGGGAAAACCATCGCGGAAAGATGCGAAGGGAGTATGCGTTGCCTCAAGGTGGCTTGCGACCCTCTGTGCGACGCATGTGAGAGGCGACGAGATGACAGGTGACGAGGGTCGAGGCACCCCAACCCGCCAAATAGTGCTAATTACTCTGATTTTCCAGGGCTCTTCGTATCTGGGACAGACTATAGATGCACATCGTTACTCAACTTACTTAATTTTTGTCGTTTTCTTTTTCGGGATAGTGATAGAAACATACCTAGCACATGCTCAGATTAGGAGTATTAATATCATTAAATTTGTCATAGGCTAGGAACCACATTATGTCATAACATGACTACGGAATTCGTGAATAGCTTTCCTACGAGCATCACCTTTGTCAACTATAGTATAAGTATATGGTGATTTTTACCGCTCTGGTGCCGTGACTTCATTTAGGCTTTTGTTAGCATCGGCTCAGTCACTTGAAGCCAAACTTAGAATAGGTAATCAAAAGATGCCGTGTGATGTTCCTTTTGCAGGCTAAACTTTTGTACTGGTAAAATAACCTCATTTTTATGTTCCGCGTAGTAAGATAAGGTGAAGTATCATCTTAACAACAATTATTCTCTAACAACTAACTACGGTAAGAACCACCCGGTTGGCCGCACTTCAAGGATCCAAAAGCTATAAGTTCCTCCTGAATTTCTGTTTCCAGACCATTCGTCTTGTTAAAAAAAAAGCGAATACGGTTCGCTTTCATTGACTTATAACCTATTTTGAATTTCCACCTTGGGAATCTAGCAAAAAGCCTCATAGTTTTATGTTATTTTTCAAACATTTTGACAGAGAATCTTAATTTGTTCATGATTTCCTCCGTTTAGGACCACTGTGCGAATTTGAAAAGCTGAACACAATTTCATGCATTGAGGACCGCCATGAACTCTACAGAAGACAAACGATTTTTCTTCCATTTTTAAAAATTTCGACAAAGAATCCTGATTTGTCCACGATTTCTTCCCCATTTTGAACCTCTATAAGCGGTAAAAAATTTTCAAACTGAACACAGGTATATGCACAGGGGACGGATAAGAACGTTCACAACCGAAACACATCGAATGTGCAACTTTTTCGTCCATTTTCCCTGTCGTTTTTGCTATAAAAATGCTGTGAAGAATGATGGCGATTAGGTAACTTTGCCCCCCCCCCCCCCCCCGAATTACTCAAAGACCGTTCGAATATTCAAGCTCAAATTTTTACCGGAGTTTTGGGGTATCATAAGGTATCGTTTGGGCCCGGTTTCAGAAAAATCCCCGCGGTCTAAAATTGTACACATAACGACCGTTTTTAGGGTCGCTCTTCCATGAGATTTTGCTACAGTTGCTACTACCACTATCTCTATACTAACACTGAAACTACTTCTACTAGTACCACTATAAGTTCTATCATTATCACTATTAACACTACCACTTCTACAAATACCACTTCTACCACTACCGCTATCGCAAACAGCTACCAATAGGTGCCTCTACCGCTACTACATCTATTGCCACGGTTACTGCTGCTGCCTCTTCATTGATAATGAAAGGTAATCAGTATTTTCAAATGAATCATCACTAATAAACGTGAGGGAATACCTTAAATGGAGAAAGTTTGCTGAGCTGACAAACAGTATTCCACAAGTGGTTGGGAAGCCAGTGACAGTAACGGTCCGACTCATGTTTTGATTTTTCCTCTTTCATCATCAAGAAACTCCACTCAGAAACGTCGATTTCTTGTCGAGAGAACTTGAAGTTAATCACCAGCAACAGTGAAAACAAGAGCCTATCCTATAAATAAAATGTTTCAAAGAGGGTGTCTGACAGCTAGATGTCTCTTCATGGAAAAAACCTATACGTAGGTATCTCTAAATAAACTCTTAATCACCTTCATTCCTTGAAAGGGATCACAAAGGGATATATATGTACATATATACATATGCGACACCTAGCTGCCAAAGTCCCCTATCCCCCAAAGCCCTTCAGGGAGTTGGCACACCCTCAGTTCTTCTAAAACCCCCTGTGGCCACCCTTTCACTGGGCGTCCCCTTCGTCTCCTTCCAGGAGGAACCCAATCAGGCATCTTCTTCGGCAGGCTTTCGTCCGTCATCCTATTAATATAACCGTACCAGATAAGTTGTTTGGTCATGAACTCATGACTTTGAACACGATGTCATTTTCGACTTCCATGATATGACGCACTCACTCATTACGGACCCGATCTCTCCTAGAAATTCCTGCAGGCCTCCTCCAGAAATCCGTATCTGTTGCTCTCAGCAGTCCCTCTGTCCGTTCCTTCAGCTGCCAAACTTCACATCCATATGTAAGAATACTTTTGACTACAACGTTGTAAATTCTCCTCCTGCTATTTTCGGAAATCCTAGGATCCCAGAGGAATGTATTTAACATCGCTGTAGCCTTCCTTGCTAGTGTGTTTCTTTCCTTAATCGCTTAATCCGTTCTTTCATCATGAGTCAACCGCACCCCCAAGTGCTTATAGTCTGCGCAGCTTTTGATCTGCTGCCCATCCTCCAACTCAATGCTTTGCTGATCACCTCCCAAAATCAGTTTCTCGGATTTGGATGTACTGACTTTCAAACCCCACTTCCGACACTCCTCTACCAACTTCCGCTTCGCATGTACAAGCAGGATCGTTGTTCCTGCAAAAAGCAGTTTTCTGTAACCCGCCATACATCACTCGAACGACCACAGTAGATAGTTTGGGCATGGACTCTTCATAAAGAAAGCCAATCCCCTCAATGGTACCACACCTATCTTCGGCGCTCGTGTTTTCCTTATCCTCTCCTCATTGCAAGATGTGTCGACTTGCCATTACCTGGGGACCACGTCCGCACATCTTACCCTGCTAAAAATTTCCCATGGGAATGACATGTGATCACATGCGCTCTCACGGGAATGACATGTGATCACATGTGGTCCCAGCGGAATAACACGACATCACATGTGCTCCCCTTTAGAATGGACATGGGAGCCCGTGAGCTCCCCTGGGATCTAACATGTGACCCGTGCGCTCCCATGAGAGTGTATATGTGACCCGTATATCGACGGTGAAACTACCAAACCACGTATCTCGGTTTGCGACGTCGCAGACTTCCTGTTATACTTTATTTTTTAAATGAAAAACTACTTAACATCCAGTCTTGAAAATTTCTGTGATTTTTCCTCTTTGTGCGGAGAAAATTCCGTGAAAATTTCAAGGAATGATATTGATTTGGTCTACTTCAAAAAAATAAAATGTGAGCGTACATTTTTAAACACCGCAAACGAGATACGTGGTTTGGTAGTTTCACCGTCGATATGTGCTCTCGTGGAACCTCCCACGGTGTCCCGTGGATCATCATAGAACATCGGGGAAAATGCCACGGGCCCATATGTGACTGCAGTCCACCACAGTGTAGCATTACAGAACTATATTCACGGGAAATGCATACAGGACCTTACAGCGTCCTACAAAGACGTCACCGAACTTGGGAACGGATACAGTGCGACAAAACACTGCGTCCTAATCTATTTTAGATGCTTTATAAGTTATACCCTGATAAAAATATTTCCCCTGGGGCTGGACACGAGATCACATGTGCTTCCCTGAGGATCCCCCTGAGTGCTCCCTAAGGAATGACGAAGGATCCCCTGTGCTCCCAAGGAAATGAACAGGGGGTCACCTGTGCACCCATGGGAGTCTGGGGACCTTCAGTCCTGTCCCTCCGTCCCCGCGCATCCCGTAGCTTTGAGGTTCGATTGGCGGACTTCCATCTTATCGGTTGTTTTTTTTTAGTTTATTTATTTTTCAATCCATTTTATTTATTTGCTGAATTTTTATTTATTGATTTTTTTTATTTAATTGTTTTTCTATTTATTATTTTTTTTATTTAGATATTGATTTAATTTCATACTTTTTTTCTGGTACGTTGTAGCCAAAAAGATGCTATGGAGCCGCATAAATTCGATACACTACTACTATTTTATTTGAATAATTTAACATATTTTATTTATTTATGAAAATACCTACATTTTTTTCCACTAATGAATTGTTTTTTACAATCTACTTTATTTGATTTGATTTATTTATTTATATTAATCTGTTTATTTTATTTTATTCATTTATTTATTTTAATCTTTTCAATGTATTTATTTATTTAGGTTAATTTATTTAATTTTTTTGTTTATTTTATTTCATTTTATTTATGTTAATTTATATCATATATTTCTTACTTTTTTATTTTATTTCATTCAGTTTCATTCTTTTGTTTTTCTTTGTGTTAATAACTATATATACTTTTTTATTTTGATTCATGTGTTTATTCACTTCTTCCTTTCCAAAAATTGATTTAATTTTGTATTATTTTTGTTTCTTTAAAACTGCGTTATGTAGAAATTTTTAAGAATATCGTTGCTTTCCATCATTGAATCGGCGCGGCGCGGCGCTGAGGATGTTCATGCTTGCTAAATTACTCACGATTTACACGCGAGCCTCCGGAGCTCCACGGCAGCGGCACTCGGGTGATCACGGGAGATAAGTAACGTCGGGCGTAGTTAATGCTTAGATGGTAGACCGCTTGGGAATGACCGCACTGCAGGGGTTTACATAGTGGCTTTAAATTTCTTTCATGTCTGAACCATGCCACGGCAATAGAACGAATTAATTTTCGCGTTTAATCCATAATCTTTTTCTTCTATGGCTCTGCTAGCAGAGACGGCATTTTGGGCACGGACTAGGGAGCTTCCCATGGGAGCCACTTCCCATGGGAGCCACTTCCCATGGGAGCCACTTCCCATGGGAGCCACTTCCCATGGGAGCCACTTCCCATGGGAGCCACTTCCCATGGGAGCCACTTCTCATGCGAGCCACTTCTCATGCGAGCTACTCTCATGCGAGCCACTTCTCATGCGAGCCACTTTGAGAGCCACTTCTCATGAGAGCTACCTCTCAGGGGAAACATTCCCCTGCCCAAAACAGCCTGAGTGAAATTCCCATGAGAAATTTTTAGCAGGGTATTTCCATTACGGCATGGGCGCTGTCAAAATGATTAATGAAACCATACCTATTCTTTTAATCTTAATAATCCTTAAAAAGGATTATTAGTAAAAGAAACCTTGCTAATTTAAGTAATGTGAGACCAGACAAGGAAAACATTGAGAAGAAACAATTGTATACCAACCTGTTGGAAAAGGCTCCTGCTAACACTTGAGTAAAAACTTTGGTTGAGTACCTGCGTCAGATCTTTAATACGAATCTCAATTGAGTCTGATTTTTCAGTGCTGTCAATGGTTTTCTTCAGCAAGTCAACGAACCATTGAAGAGAGAAAATATACATGCAATTTATTTTTATCAGCAAATCTAAAACAGACCAAACAGTTAAATGCTTAATCTACGTGCTTTCCCTCCGAATTTTTTTTTCATTGTATGCAGATTATGACAGTGTAGGAATCTCTCCCAAAATGTCGGCCTCAAAAAACACTCTGGCAAGGGGCCGGTTGCTTAAAGATGAGGTAACGGTGCGATCGCTCCACAGTGCATGGGATCCACGAACTCACCCCCATCCAAAACTGATGCATCGGATCCACGGGTCGTGGAGCCCACGCACCAAATCAGAGAGAGGTGGTGTGTGGAGCCCACACCCTGTGGATCGATTGCACGTGTGCATTGGATCCACAGTGCGTTCCCTCCACAGGCCCGTTTCCGAAAAATATCTCATTACACATCCAAAGAAAGGTTTTTTATCTCCTTTCTCACCTCATGAAAGTTGCAAGGTTTTGGACAAATGTTCCCTCTCAGTTGTGCGGTTTCTTTTGTATTTGGGGCGTCCCACTACGCATGACTGTTCGCCTCTATGACTGTGACATCTGATCTTAGACGCAACTTCTTACGCGCACTTTAACGTGATATACACACCCGATTCCTAGGATTTTACAAGAATTCCATTACGCCAATCAAATTTTGAAGATTCAAGGAAGAAACCTCGCAAATTTAGCGTTTTCGTCCAAAGCCTCCTCGTTAATTTTGAAATTTTGTCAATGAGAGGTTGATCTCGCCAGGTGTATTTTTTGGCAGACCGTCGAGTTATAAATGAAGTGCTTCACTTATTGAAAATTGAGCTGCTGGTAAAAGGGGTCAAGGTCGACAACATACCACGCAAAGTCTTATATCATAATACACATCGACGGTGAAAGTCGGCAATCACATAACTCGTTTGCGGTGTCTGAAAATCTCTGCCTCTACGTCATTTTTTTAAAGGAGAACAAATTGATATTATTTCTTGAAGTTTTTGCAGAATTTTCTTCGCATTGCACGGTGCTCCTGAACTCACTTTAAATGCGACTTTGTTGTACATCAAAAATTCAAGTTGGAGGTTGTAGTGGGGTACTCCCTGATGGGTTTTTGGGCAATTTCAAAATAGGTTGTCGGAGCTCCTCGAAAAATAATCGCATTTTTGTGGTTTTTTATGGGTAAAATAGCAAAATTGGCCTCGGGGCGACAAATTAAACCCCCTCTCCCTCATCCTTGCCTTGACCGATCTGAATTTTTAGTATGTTTTTACTCGGTATAAGATGGGACTTTTCTGAAATTTTCATGCCCATACAAAGTTTTTTGCTCCCGCGGCAGCGTTGCCAAGTTGCGGACTCCAAAATATCGAATTTAATGATAAAATGAAGGTTTCGGAGTGTGATTTCCATTCAAAATCAAAAATTCAAATTGTAAGTTGTAGTAGGGTACTGCCTGATGGAGTTTTGGCCAATATCGAAGTAGAGTGTTTGAGATTTTTGAAAAATAATCGAATTTTTGCGGTTTTTTAAGGGTAAAATAGCACCCTGAGCACGGGGCGGCAAGTTAAACCTTTTCTCTCTCATCCTTGCCGTGACCGATCTGAACTTTTAGTATGTATTAACCTGGTATAAGATGTGACTTTTCTGAAATTTTCATGCCCATACAAAATTTTTTGCCCCCGCGGCAGCGTTGCCAAGTTGCGGACTCAAAAATATCGAATTTGATGATAAAATGAAGGTTTCGAGGTGTGATTTCCTCCAAAATTTCAAGAAAAATGTGCAATCTGAGAGTTTTCGATAAGAAAAGGCATATTTGAACAATTTAGAGTTGCAGTGTTGCCAGCTTTCGATTTAAATTTCGTCAAAATGACCCAAATCGCGTTGCAACCTCAAGCGCTGGATTTTTATTTCGTTCAGAATTGGTTATTAAGGTTCTTCTGTACTCTATGCATTTAGGTACCATGAAAATTATGCCATTACTTACTTGACGGGTGCAGCTAACTCAAAAAGAGAGGCCGGATAAAGCGATGAGTCGGGGGAAAACGAGCGGTTCGGGTTGACAGAAAGTTCTTAAATCTACTCCATCACCAGAAAGTAGAATTTGAGAACTTCCTCCCACCCCCCAAACCTTATCCCTGTTGCAGTCAATCCTTTGAACATCTTATCTGAAATTTTGCCCCCGAATTTTTCCCAAAAACATGAAAAATAAAAATACAAATAAAATGGGTGGATAACAACGATTCAAATAACGCTATGAAGTCCCTGAATTCGACCTCCTCTCATACAGCGGATTGGATAGTTCGAATCCAGAAGACTTCTTACTGTGAAGAAAATACCTTCGACAATTTAAAGAATAAAAAAATTACAAAAGATCACAATAAATTTGATTATTGTTGAAAATAAACTCCCTCATAAAAAAAAAATAAACTAGATGACGAAATTAAAAATGCTTTGTAAATTTTTGGTTGTATAAGACATGTTTGACATTCCGAAAAATAAAATATTTCTGGACTAAATAAGGAAACATACCATTCATGGCAAACTCTGTTGCATGAGATTCCAGATGATCAAGAGGCCTCTTAAATTTAGATGGACTCCATCAGGTTTGTTCCGATCATAAAAAGTCATAATTTCGTCATCTAGTTTATTTTTTTTAGGGGTATTCTAGGTTTGGGGGGTGGGAGAAAGTTCTCAAATTCTACTTTCTGGTGATGGAGTAGATTTAAGAACTTTCTGTCAACCCGAACCGCTCGTTTTCCCCCGACTCATCGCTTTATCCGGCCTCTCTTTTTGAGTTAGCTGCACCCGTCAAGTAAGTAATGGCATAATTTTCATGGTACCTAAATGCATAGAGTACAGAAGAACCTTAATAACCAATTCTGAACGAAATAAAAATCCAGCGCTTGAGGTTGCAACGCGATTTGGGTCATTTTGACGAAATTTAAATCGAAAGCTGGCAACACTGCAACTCTAAATTGTTCAAATATGCCTTTTCTTATCGAAAACTCTCAGATTGCACATTTTTCTTGAAATTTTGGAGGAAATCACACCTCGAAACCTTCATTTTATCATCAAATTCGATATTTTTGAGTCCGCAACTTGGCAACGCTGCCGCGGGGGCAAAAAATTTTGTATGGGCATGAAAATTTCAGAAAAGTCACATCTTATACCAGGTTAATACATACTAAAAGTTCAGATCGGTCACGGCAAGGATGAGAGAGAAAAGGTTTAACTTGCCGCCCCGTGCTCAGGGTGCTATTTTACCCTTAAAAAACCGCAAAAATTCGATTATTTTTCAAAAATCTCAAACACTCTACTTCGATATTGGCCAAAACCCCATCAGGCAGTACCCTACTACAACTTACAATTTGAATTTTTGATTTTGAATGGAAATCACACTCCGAAACCTTCATTTTATCATTAAATTCGATATTTTGGAGTCCGCAACTTGGCAACGCTGCCGCGGGAGCAAAAAACTTTGTATGGGCATGAAAATTTCAGAAAAGTCCCATCTTATACCGAGTAAAAATATACTAAAAATTCAGATCGGTCAAGGCAAGGATGAGGGAGAGGGGGTTTAATTTGTCGCCCCGAGGCCAATTTTGCTATTTTACCCATAAAAAACCACAAAAATGCGATTATTTTTCGAGGAGCTCCGACAACCTATTTTGAAATTGCCCAAAAACCCATCAGGGAGTACCCCACTACAACCTCCAACTTGAATTTTTGATGTACAACAAAGTCGCATTTAAAGTGAGTTCAGGAGCACCGTGATTGAGAAGAAAAATCATGACAGTTTTAAAGAATTGCCGTTGAGTAGTTTTCCATTTTAAAAATAAAGTATGACAGGAAGTCTGCGACGTCGCAAACCGAGTTATGTGATTGCCGACTTTCACCGTCGACCTGCAATGCGCGAGGCAAATGGGCATTTCTGGTTTTCAATTTTTTTTCTCCTTTCCTCTAACAACGAGGGAATGAACGGAGAAAGCGATCGCCGCGATCTTCGTCTTTTCCTAGATCTGCAGGAATTAAGGGGTATCCTCCAAAAGAAGAAAATAGTGGATCGGACGAATAGAACTGGATTGGATTCCAAAGATATGTAAATAGACAAATACACTAACGGAATGAAATCTGGTCGCCGAAAGAGCAAAGTGGCCGTTTTATCGGTCATGTATCTAAAGCAGAGCATAAGAGGCAATCACAACCGTGCCGTGAAATTGTGTTTTTTTAAAGCAATCTACCTGCAGGAGGAAATAGCAATAGTTAGATAATATGTGATAGATGTGACATTATCATTGCAATGTCTTGTAGTGTTGCATGTTGCTTATCCTCTGATTCCAAGGCAATAACACTTTGCCGAAGCCTTGCTGGTCGATTCTAACGTGGTGATAAAATTGATCGCAAGTGCAGGCACTGCGCTTCAACCCGTCAACACTTTTCATAGCGTGGAAAATCGGAAGATGTTGATTGAGAATTGCAACAATTGTACAACGTCGCAACTGATCTAACTCTATAAGAATCATGACGATTAACGTGTAACGCATTACACCCGATGTGCGAAGTGCCTCAAAGGGTTGGACCGCAAAGCGGTTAGGGGGTGTACCTTCTGGTTTTAATAAGTGAGAAAATTATGGAATAAAACTCTCTTGAACATTGCCTCAATATTTGCAGGAAACTTCTGATCATGAAGTGGCGCTTTAAAGATGGCATGAGGGTGAAAGGAAGTGCGCGGGAATAAGGTGTGGGGCGATGTGAAAGCAGTCAGTGGTCAACTCGTGTCTTTTACCTACTATGTGTATTGAAGGGTGGCATTGGCATATTTCGATACCGCTGCCAAATTGCGAGGCGGCATGCGGCATCTTTGCATTTTAGCCTAATCACCGACAAAAGTAACTGAATCGACACAATACAACACCCCTCTCGCAGCCCTCTCCCTCACCGCCGCGCCGCGCCAAACCCTTAGCACATTACCGAATTTCTTCCGCACGATACGGTGGCAATTAGAAAATGAAGAAATATTCAAGGGTGAAAAACACGAATGGCAACACTGTAAGGGTTTGAACTAGATAGACGAGAAAAAAGGGTCCAAACGTTTTATTGTTCTCAACTAGCTGTCGTTCGCGACGAATTACACTTCTCCGAAACCTTTTTTGTCTCAGGCAACCGTTGCCGCAGTACTATGAATTTTGCTCCAGTCTACATACGGTGTCCCAAAATAACTGGGACCAAGTCTGTAATT